CAGAAAATGGTAAATGAAACACATATTTTCTATCAACACTCTAAATAGTGAGAGACATGGAGATAAAGGATTACATGTACATGTACATATGTATATTTACTTTTGATGTTCATTTCATAATTCAATGTTTATCAGCAAAGCTCTCGTTAAACTCCTAAAATACAATAAAAACAATGAGATGTAATAATATTAATTGGTTCATTTGTTTAAATGGACATGACTCAAAAATTTTAGTGAGAATGGGTTTCAACTATTTAAATGCAACTAAAATTGGTAATGATTCAGTTCAGAGCCATTTTTTGAAAAAAAACGTGTACTATAGTCCATAGTTTATTGTTACAGGGAGGGCTGCCAATAGGCTATGTGGGGTCCAGGACAAAAACTTTGATGGTGCCCCTACAGGTACGGGTACGTACAGGACATATCATACATGTATTTCACAATTTGACTAAAATTCATGTACTAGTATACATGTACAGGTACATTTAAACTACCTCATCTGTTATTTTGCTGTCATTAGTAACTCCATCATTTTCATCATCAACTTTCTCTCTTCCCTGTATATGAAAAGTCCATCATGATCTGTCTGTTCCAATGCCACCATATTGATGGTTAAAATAACAATAATTGCCCTGATGGTGATCCTGTGGAAGAGACCATGCAGTCCTATCTACAGTCAATAATAGTGAACTTACTGGAGGAGGTGGCCAGTAAAGGGACCATAGCATCACTAGTGTCCAGTGTCAATGAATATATTAATAATAAATCTAACATGAAGGACACTGTCAAAAGGTAATCAGTATCATTAGCACCTAACTGTACATGTATATTGACATGTACATGTATTATTATTGTATGTACATGTACATATACATGTATAACTGGACATCTTAGGACCCAATAATAATTAAAGTCTCCTTATTTTAGAGGGTCCTTAATTTAGTGATAGTGATTCTATGCTCAAGTTACCAATAATTACAATATTCTACATTATGAGTATACCCAATGACACTTGGTGAAATATTAAAATTATGTACATGTACATGTACCAAGTGCTGTTGATTTATTTTTATTAATTTCTTCATGTAGTGAGCATGATTGCAGGCAACTGGTGAAGGACTTAAGGAAACAATTGGTTGAAGTGAAAAGAGAAAAAGAAGAACAAATCACAGTATGAATACTACCCTTTATTATCATAATGACATGCACCTAATTACAAAGTACTGTATGTACAATGTACATGTATGTAAAATTCTGGAAAATACCCAAGGCTATATAGCCCATGGTTTTTCCTGAGAAATGGCTCCGAAATCACCCTCAATTTTTATTACATTTTCTTATACATATTGATGTATTTATGCTGTGTAGAAAGTTTGAGGTGATTCCAACTTCAATTTTTCAAGTTACGGCCAATTTAATAGAATCCGAAAATTTTGAAAAATACCCAAGGTTATAGCCCATGGTTTCTTCCAAAAATGGCTCCAAAAACACCTCAAATTTTCATTACATTTTCTGATACATATTGATGTCCTTAAGCTGTGTAGAAAGTTTGAGCCGATTCTGACTTCAATTATTCAAGTTACGGCCAATTTAATAAAATCCCAAAATTTTGAAAAATACCCAAGGCTATTATAGCCCATGGCTTTTCCAAAAAATGGCTCCAAAATTACTCCCAAATTTTATTACATTTTTGATGCTACATGTACATACATGTATGTTTTAAACCTCTATAACTACATGTAGATTGATTCCTCTAATAAATTAAATGTCATCTTATTTTTGGTAGAAATTAGATGAAGATGTTGCTCACTGCAAGGATCAGTTACAAGAACTTAAAGCTCGTACCGGACTACTTAATAAATACATTAAAAAACAATCAGACGTAAGTATATACATGTACATATACATACAATATATTTTCTTTCCAAGCAAAATTATTATCTAAAATTTCAGAAAGAATCATTACATATATTTTCCTTTCTTATCAATCCAGTTGCATGCATGCACCCACACATGCACGCATATTAATGAGTTCCTTATTATTGTTTTTCAAAAGGTCAAAGTTCAGTGCAGTCAGAGACAGCAGCAGAATAAAGAGTCTGACCTTTATAACGAGAGGGAGAGACTGAAACAAGAACTAGCAGAAGAGAAGAGAGCACATGCTGAGATTGAAAACTACCTCAAGAAACACATTGAAGTAAAATTAATGATAATAATAACAATAAATAATACATGTACATGTGACTTCTCTTGTAATTTTGAATGGATTTTGCATTTGTCTACTACCGTATGCGTTCAAATTTTTGAGGGTTCAAAATTTCGTGTTTTCAAATGAAATTTGCTCAAAAGTTAATATTTGTGGGAGCTAATTTTCGTATTCTGGCCATAGTCTACATACAATAGAATGGCATTAGAGGTGGTTTAAATTTTGTGGATTTAAGGTGAGCACAAAAATAACGAAATTTAATGCACCTCGAAAATTAAGACGCGTACGGTATGTACCAATACATGTCTAGATTATTGTAAAAATAGAATCCATTGATTAATGAACTCTAATCTCCACATTATTTATATTTATAATTATATTTTTAAAAATGAATATTATTTGTATGCATGTACATGTGCATACATACATTGTAAATATCATCATTATTATTATTATTATTATTATTATTATTATTATTATTATTATTATTATTATTATTGTTGTAGTAGTAGTAGTTGTTGTTATTATTATTGTTGTTATTGTTTAGGATCTTGATGGTAAGGTTGAGTACTGGATGTCAAAGTATGAAGAAGACTTGGAAATGAAGACCACTAAAGTACAAGAGACTAAGTCAGCCAAAGCAGCAGGACTACAGAAACTGGACGAACTATC